TCATACCCACTAGGATCGCTACAATCAAGATGTTAGACTATAGCAAGTGTTGGTGAGAAAACAGAAAAATTAGAATCTTTGGATATTGTTGATGGAATATAAAATGATGCAGTCACTTTGGAAAACAGCCTAGCAGTTCCTCAAAAAGGTTAAATATAGACTTCCTATATGACCCAGCAGTTCTCCTCTTAGGTATATACCCAAGAGAAATTAAACATGCCCAAGCAAAAACTCATATAGATACGTTCACAGCAGCATTATTCATAATGGTCCCAAAGGGGAAGCAACTTAAACGTCCATCAACTGATGAATGAATAAACAAAATGCAGTACACCTATACAATGGGATTAATATTCCATTGGCAATGAAATGGGACTTGCCTGGTGTTCCAGAGGTACAGAATTTGCCTTCCAATGCAGGAGATGCATGCTTGATCCCTGGTCAGGGAATTAAGAGCCCATCTTGGTCGGGGAATCAAAAACTCACATGCCATGGGGCTACAAAGTCTGCACACCTCAATGAAAGATCCTGCGTGTCACAACTAAGACATGACACAGCCAAAAATAAATAAATATTTTTAAAAACAATATCTTAAAAAAAGAAAGGAATGAAGTACAGATACATATATGGATCAACTTTGAAAACAGTATGCTAAGTGGAAGAAGCCAGTCACAACAGATCACATATATGATTCCATTTATATGAAATGTCCAGAATAGGCAAATCTATAGCAATGGAAAGGTAATTAGTGGTTACCAAGGGCAGGGGGGTTGAGAGAAAATGAGATGTAACTGCTATAGGATAAAAGGTTTCTTTTTCTTTTAATATGTATTTTATTTCTTTGTTTTTGGCTGCTCAGCATGTAGGATCTTAGTTCCTGGACTAGGATCAAACCCATACCCTCTGTACTGAAAGGATGGAGTCTTAACCACTGGACTGCCAGGGAAGCCCTGTTAAAGCCTCTTTTTAACGTGATGACAGTGTTTTAAAATTGATTTTGGTGATGGTTGCACAACTCTGAATATACTAACAAACTTGAGTGTGTACTTCAGAGGGTGAATTTCCTGAATGGTATGTGAATTAAATTTCAAAACTGTCACAAAATCAAGATCTAAATGTGAAAGGCAAAACTATAAAGTTTTAGAAACAAATGTAAAAGTTCTCTTCATGACCATGGGGTAGGGAAAAGTTTCTTCATAATTTATACAAAAGAATATCAATCATAAAGGGAAGTGAAGTGAAGTGTTAGCAGCTCAGTCGTGTCTGACTCTTTGCGACCCCATGGACTGGGGCTTGCCAAGATCTTCTGTCCATGGGATTCTCCAGGCAAGCATACTGGAGTGGGTTGCCATTTCCTTCTCCAGGAGATCTTCCTGACCCATGGATCAAACCTGGGTTTCCTGCATTTCAGGCAGACTCCTCACCATCTGAGCCAGCAAGGAAATTCAACCATAAAGAGAATAACATGCAATCTTGACTATATGAAAACTGAGCTTTTGTTTATCAAAAGATACTTAGAAAGTGAAAAGAAAAGGTACAGAGTGAAAAAATAATACATAAAGAGAATTTGGGGCTTCCCTAGTGGGCTCAGACGGTACAGAATCTGCCTGCAATGCAGGAGACCCGCATTTGACACCTGGTTTGGGAAGATCCCCTGGAGGAGGGCATGGCAACCCACTCCAGTATTCTTGCCTGGAGAACTCCATGGACAGAGGAGCCTTACAGGTCCACGGGGTTGCAAAGAGTCCAACATGACTGAGTGACTAACACACACATACACAAAGAGAATTTAGGGATGAATAAAAAAAAAAACCCAACTGACTCAATGACTAACAGGCATTTTGTTGAAGAATGGCCAATAAAAATGTTTTAAATGCAAATTTTTACCCCAGTGGAATACAATTGCATACTTGACACATTGGTAAAAATTTTAAAACCTCATAGGATAGCAAAAATGTCAAGTGAGAGAAATTCTCAAACTCCGTGAATAGGAGTGTAAATTGGTATAGCTGCCTTAGAAAACAATTCAGCACAGCCTAGTAAAAGTTGAGGACACATGCCCTGTAACCAAGCATCTTCATTCTTCTTGTTTATGTGCAGTGAGGGACAAACATGAGAAGCATGCAGCAGCATTATTTGTAACAAGCTATAACAGGCTTAGTTGTTCAGTCATGTCCAACTCTTTTTCGAACCCATTGACTGCAGCCCACCAAGCTCCTCTGTTCATGGGGATTCTCCAGGCAAGAATACTGGAGTGGGTTGCCATTTTCTTCCCCAGGGGATCTTCCCAACCCAGGGATTGAACCCAGGTCTCTAGAATTGCAGGTGGATTCTTTATCATCTGAGCCACCAGGGAAAGCCTCAGAACAGGGAAAAACTTCAAGTTCTAACAATAATAAAATACACGGCTATCACTACCACATAATGCTATAATCACATCAGACAGTTATTCAGAGCTTTACAGAGCACCATGCACTGCCTTAAGTACTTTTCATATATAGATTCATTTGAAACCTTTCAACAACCTATAAGGTAATAGATATTTTACTCCCATTTTTCGGATGTGAAAACTGAGGTTCAGAGAGTTTAAATAACTTGCCACAAGGATAGTAGAGTTGACAGAGATTCAAATCTAAACAGTCTAGATTCAAATCTAAACCATCCATGCTCTTTTTCACACATTCCAGAAGGATACAAAACAAGACTTCAAGAAATGGAAATATATGTCAGATCCTGGATAAGGCGATTCAAAGATGTTTAATTCAACTATTATGTTGTATACAGCTGTGAAAGTGAATGAAGGGCAATTAGGCTCATCAACATGGCTTGATTTCCAATAAACAGCATTGTTCAAAGAAAAGCAAAATACATAAGAATACACACACACACACACACACACACACACACACACACACATATATATATATATGTAGTTTCTTTCTATTTTAACCAAGGTCCCAAACAAGCAAAATTAAGCAATATGTTGCTTGAGGATACATTCACAAGTGATCCAACTACTGGGAAAACAAAGGATTGTACTTATCTAACACTGGGTAAAAACATATAGTTATTATTCCTTAGATTATACATGCATGTTCTTCTTCATGTATGATATTTTGTAATAAAAATACTAAAAAAAACTAGGCCAACCTCTTATAGGTATAACAATACCAAATTCCTCAATTAATAAACAGAATTCAATATAACAAAAAAGGGATAGTAAAATGTGACCAAGTGGGATTTATTCCAGGAAGACATATTAGAAAATCTGTTAATAATAGACTTATAGTATCAGTTGATCAAGAGTGGAAAACTACGCATCTCATAGATTCTGAAATGACACTAGATAAAGTTCAACTTTCTTGATAATTACATTATCAAAAACAACAAAAGCCAAAACAAATTCCAGAAGGATCAAAGATTGAAACATCAAAAAAGAAAATTATAAAATAAAATAGTAGAAGAAAATACAGGTGAAGGGAGGAATGCCTTTTTAAGTATGATACAAAATTCAGAAACCACAGAAGAAAATACTGATCAATTCAACTACAAAGAAAAATTTTAGGCTAGGAAGAGCATCGTAAGCAGAGTCAAAAGATAAAAACAATTTTGGGGGAAAAAAAATTGCAATTCACATCTCAGACAAATGACTCATTTCCTTAATATATAAAGAGTTTCCATAAATCAATAAGAATAAGTTCAACACCCCTCAATGTGCATCACATCAAAAATGGGAAAGGGATATAAACAATTCACAGAAAAGAATATGAAAATTTGTCTTTTAAACATTAGAGAAAGATACTCAACTTCACTCCAAAGAGAAATGCTGTTAGAATATATTGAAATACCACTAAAATACCATTTCTCATTTTTGGCAATCTGATAGGTAAAGTTTGAGAACAGTCTTCATGAGACTGTGGCAAAGAGTTACTTGCATCTATTACAGGTGAGAGGACACGTATATTGTAGAACATCTATGAAATGTAATTTGATAATATATTTTAAAAGTCAAGTACACATTCTTTTATGTAATAATTTCACTTAGAGATTTATTCTATTATATATGATCTCACAAAGATAAAATTCAAATATTCATCAATAGGGAAACAGGTAACTCAATACAATGGAACTCTATAGAGGTACAGACTCTTCTCAACAGTTTGCTACCATATAATGTGAGGTCATAATATTTCTTTAACAGATTTTATGTAAGGATATGAGGTAGCACCAAATAAATAGTAGTTTGTCCTCCAAAAGTAGTAGATGATAAAAATAACAATGGATGTAGTAATATTGGGCTGGCCAGAAAGGTCACTGTTGTTTTTCTGTAACATCTTGTGGAAAAACCCAAACAAATCTTCTGGCCAACCCAATAATGGTGAGAACTAAGTTTACGGCCAGTTAGGGACCCAGCTGGGATTCAACACACACCTGTCTTTCCAAACTCATTCTTCTATGTTTACTCAATTGAGCCTCTTACACAGAAAATACAAGCACTTCTCCATGTTTGTTTCAATGCTCCACCACGGTGCTTCATCTCTTTTGTATATAACAGGTTAGAAGAGGTTTATCTGCATCTGAGTGAGAACCACAGATTTGTCCTGCATTTGGAGCTTCTGATTCTGTGGCAATGAAATCGGAACCTTGAAGAGATTTGCTCATCCTGCTTCAACCACAAAATAAAACCACTAGCTACAATGGTCTCAAAGTCAGTTCTAGGGCTGTTTCAAATATCCTTATGCAGTTAGACTTGATAGGTATAGAAGGGGACCCCCCAAACGTCTCCAAACCTTTCCCTATCTTGGATAGGTTATACTTTGGCTAAAAACCCTATGGATCCCTTTGCTTTCGGTTCACTTGTTGTGTCTAAGGTTAATGGGTTTAAGAAGTTTTGGTGAAAAGAAGTGAACTGAAAAGATCTGGCTTATGTGGACAGCTGCAAAAAACAAAGGATTTCTACACTGAGAAGCTTGCAACAACTAACCACGCCCCTCCCTTACCTTGCCTTTATAAGTGCTTTGTTGAAACCCTTCCAGGACTCGGGATTGGGAGGCACGGGCCACCTGTCTTCTTGCATGCCCCTGCAATAAACCTTTCTCTGCTCCAAACTCCAAGGTTTTTGGTTTGTTTGGCTTCACTGTGCATTACCTAGGTTCGGTAATAATAACATAATGGATAGAATTTTAATAAATCCAGAAGAAAAAGGATGATCTTTTGACTCAAACTGGAGCTCCAATTGTAAACGGTAAGGTTTTTGAGCAAGCTCTGGGAAATGGTGAAGGATAGGGAAACCTGCTGTGTTGCAGTCCACCGGGTCACAAAGAGTCAGACACGCCTGGGCGACTGAACAACAACTAGGTTGGATGCAGGGAAAGGCCCTTTCGATAAATCTCATGATCACTAGGTCCCTTCCCTCCATCAACTAAATAACAAGGCCACACCTGGAGGTTCCCCAACAATTGCTTGGTGACTTGTAGCTTGTGAGTAAAAGCTCTCATTTTTTGCTGACAGGATTACAACGCCTTTGGTGGCTAAAAAGTAAATGCCTTTGGGTCTGTTTTCTCCTTCCAAACTTAAACCAGAAGCAGTCGGCTCCATACAAAAAAAAAACAAGAAAGAAACCGGGCAAGCCAACGTTTAACGGGGAACTTCCCCCGGGCAAAAGCCCGCCCTTTTCAAAAAACAAAAAAAAGCCCTTTGGCCTGGTCCCAGGGGGAAGAACCGAAAAAGGAAGGAAAAAGGTGCCAAGTCCTTTCCCCAAATTGCAAGAAAAAAAAAACAAGCCAACCCCGGAACAACTAAAAACAACCAAAAGCCTCCAACTTGGGAAAACCAACGAATGCCTTGAAAAAGGGAAATTTTAATTGCAAAACAAAAGAAAATTTTTTTTTTAAGTCATGAAAATCCAGGGGGGTCCCAGGTGGTGAAGTGGTAAAGAATTCACCTGCCAATGCAGGAGATGCAAGAGAGGTGGGTTCGATCCCTGGGTCGAGACGATCACTTGCAGGAGAAAATGGCAACCCACTCCAGGATTCTTGCCTGAGAAATCCCATGGACAGAAGAGCCTGGAGGGCTACAGTCCATGGGGTCACAAAAAGTAAAAACATGACTGAGTGACTGAGCGTACATGCACGCGCTTTATTTATGTATTTTTCAGTGTATGGGTTATAGCCCACAATTAAAAACCTTTTGAAAACATATCTTAATTGTGTTTCCTCTCAAAATAAAGAATATAGGGCAGCAGTGCCTATGAAGAAGTTCACGTTTATTTTTCACTTATTCGCTATAAAATAGGAGCTGAGAAAGCTGAGTCACTGAAAGCCTTGCTTCAGTGAAAATTAGGTAGACTTGTGGAGACAGCAGGTAAACAGAATAAACCAAAAGAGAAAGACTGGGAGGATGGAAGTTATGTTCACATGTCAGAAGGAAGATCAACATGCTGTCGCAGCTTTTAGAAGTATTGATTCTTGCATCTATTTCTTCTCTAACACAGAATCCTGTGGCTGCTTCTCATACCTAAAACTTAAAAACCAATGAGGATTTCAGGCAGAGTCTTGTAAGCAAGACCCACTTCTGTCAACATCTTTAATTCACAGATGAGAAATGCTTAGCTTTTTTTTTTTTCTTAGTACAATACTTCCATACAATTAATCTCATGGAAAAAAGTTGAGACTGTGGATGTTTTTGGCTACATCCATAAGGACCAACGAAACTTTTTCCAGGGGACAAACACATTCACCCTCCACTCCATGAAGGTAGATGACCCAAGAGTTTGGAATGTTCCACCTTCCAGAAACATTTTAGCCATGAGCGTCAGACATTCACAGCTATTTTTGCCTTCAGTTCCCTAACATTCGTATTAGGAAAATTCCAGGGAGAGAGAGAGAAGACCCTGGCTATGGCAGTTGTCTCACTGGCAACAAAGCAGTATTGAAACTCTGAAGTTGACATCTCCACACCAATTCAAGCAGCACAGAAACTCCTGTTAGTTTTGTCATAAACCGATTAGAGCTGGTACACAGACCTAAGGATCTCAATGCTTTGACACTGAATAGCCATTCAGATTCCAACAGTTTCCCCAGTAAAAACCCACCGGGAAATTCTCAGTAAGTTCACCACAAGATGCCATCTGAGATATGCTTCAGTCTCATAATCATCCCCACACACACCCAGGAAAAAAGAAAATGATATTTAGTCCAGAGAAAGTGGCCACCACCCATGCCCGGGACCTCCTGCTTGTCTGTATGAAACACGCTCCGAGAGTCTGGTAGAGGCAGACCGTCCGGCTGCTCCTGGACCAGGGCGAGGGGGTGGGCGTGGGGACAGCCTCTACCCTTTCCCAAATCAAAAGGGGGGGAAAGTGAGAAAATCTCCAGAGTTCAAACATTCCTTTAAAGCCCACAACTTTAAATACTAAATGTGTTTCATGGCTGCCATCTTGAAAAACATTAGTTTGCCAAAGGCGGCCTTTGATTCCCACTTGCGATGGAAACGCTGGCAGATAATCCATTGAAACAGGTCCCGCACAAAGGCCCTTCTGCAACAATCGTGGTGCTTGTGAAGGACAACATTTTTGTGCCCAAAATAAAACATTTTAATGCGCTACAATCCATTACACATATAGTCCTCCATTTCCTTTCAGTAATTATTCATTAGAAAACATTTAACGTCACTGTGGATTTCACACTGGGCAGTCTGGATACAAAGAACAAGAGATGGCCCATTTATAAGGGGCCGGGGTCTTCTTTTCTAATCTGAGAAACTCCGAGGAGGTGGGGCCCGCAGGACACAACAGGCCGGCTAAATTGTGCGGTTAACGGTCAAAGCCCCCCTGCCTACTTTGACACTCATTTAAAGATGACGGGGAACAAAAGAGATTTGTTCTGTGCAACCCTTTCTTGTTACGCAGCCTACATCGGGCTCCGTGCATGAAACCCGCCCGATATTTTATTCCACCTGCCAGCTCCCTGCCGCCTTCCTCGACTCTCTCCTCTGCTACTTGGCTTTCTCCCACTTTAACACAAAGAGACAGGTAAAGAATATCTGTAAAAGCGGCCCATTCAGCATGTCAGCTTTCATAATACAATTGCCTGTCAGGTCCCCGAGGAGCTATGAGGCGCTCAAACGTCTGGGTTCAGGCCAGAAATCCGGCCCGCACTTCTGTTGGTTTAGCCAGGCAGCTCCCGGTCACCTCCCACCCTCCCGTAGTGGAGGGCCATCTCCTGGGGCACAGACACCAGAAACTATCTTGAATAACAACAGTCTGAAACATTTGCTCCACCAGCGCGAGACCACATGCCCACTCCCAATGGGCTGCATGTATATTCCTTTCATGCCTACGTTAAAAAAAAATGTTCACCGAAAACTCAGATCCAGGGATCTCGAGTCATTGGAAAAGTTGGGGAATATTTATCTTAAAGCCATTTTTTTTTTTTAAAAAAGTATGCGACAGAATAAAATAGTTTAACAGCAGAAGATTCTTCCCTAAGGTAGTGGGGAAAGATCCTATCTTGAGAGTCTAAGCAGATTAAGATGTATGGGCATACATATAAATCTAAAAACCTCTAGTTCCATTTCGACTTTGCAAACTGCATGAAGACTATATACCACCTAGTGATGCTTCCAGAATATACTGATGAGAAACCAGCAAGGACAAATAGGCTTGGCTTTCCTAGAGTCTCAAAAATGATTCATGACACTGTATGGCTCTTTTTATAGCTGTTTGCAGGTTATACCTGCTTTTTATCATTATCCTGATGGTTAGAGGAAACTGCCTCTGATCACAGAGTCAAACGGCAAGAATATGCCAGAGAAAATCAGTGGGTCCTTAAAGAGAAAGCAAGATTCACAATGAAGCCAGTCACAGCAGCTCAGTCAGCGGTCAATGAAATTCTAAAAACTAAACAGTTATGATGGTCTGTGTCAGAGAATAGCAAACGAGGGCTCATGGGTCAAATCCAGACAGCTGCCTGCTTTTGACGCAACAGAAGAATAATTTTTTTTTAAAAAAGTCATGAGAAAATTGAATGAAATTCCAATGTCTGTGTCCATTAACATGTATTAGACAATAGCCATGATTATCGTGTATGTCTATCTGTGACTACTTTCCTGCTATGACAGACTCAACTAGTTTCCATGGAGGCTGAATGGTCCACAAAGCCTAAAATATTTATTATCTGGCCCTTTATAAAAAAAATCCGCTGATCTCTACTCTATATCCTGTATCACATACATGTCTCTAGTTCTTAAGATCCAGGCTTCCAAATCAATGGTATTTAAAAATTGTAGGCACCAAGAGGAAAAAAAAAAGTGGAATTTCAAGTATAACCCTTTCCAAACAAGTGTTTGATGGTTTATGATGAATCCCTCAAACTCATGGCTGAGACACTTCTTAATTAAGATCTTTATATCTAGCATTGTTAAATGTTGAAAAATAGGGTCATTGAGAACTCGAGGAGAGATGGTACCTTTCCAGACCCACTGCTGCTTCTTAGCTGCCCAAACACACACAGAAAATTAACTGTGCAAACAGCAGGTAGCAGTTTCTCCGGTAGAACTTAATGAGCATTTGCTCCATAAACAAACAACACTTCTAGCTCTCAAGAAAACCCTCTGAAGGTGTCATCCCCAAGCATGAAGGATGGTACTCAATGACAGCTAAAATTTAAATCGAACATACATCAAGAAAGCAAGCAAGGTCTGATAATTTGACTCAAGGGGGAGTCTCAGCTGTGGAAAGGACGGGGATGAAACTTGAGTGATAAGAGCATTATCATATTGTATGTTTTTATGCATCCGATTTGCTCAACGGCTGAAATGCGGGACTATCTTTTCATGTAAGGACAAGAAGACTGTCAGCTTTTGATTATTCAACCACAGCCTCTTAATCACTACTGAATGTGTATAATTATGAATATCAATAAACAGAATAATGCTTCTAAATTACCTTAGGGATTAGACGGTCTCCTAGTAAGAATTAGAACAGTTCACAGAGTCTTAATTGCCTCTTGGGAGTTCCAGGTGGAGAAAGAAATGGCCATGTAACTGCATACATTATTTTCAGCATAAAGGAGAGGATTAAAAAAATCAAAGGCAAGGGCTAGACTTCTCTTACTACTTCCCAACAATAAGTAAATAAAT